CCCTGCATAAAAGACTTCTTAAAAGTCACACACAGTCACATAATCACACAGAGGGCACTGGGTGGCACACTTAGAGCTCCCTGGGTCCCTCCTGTTCTGCTGGGTTGGCCCTCAAGGAAACAGTAGGCTTAGGTTGGGAAGGGGGGGCCCACTTGTCCTCTCAGTCAGACCGGTTCCGCCAGGGCCATGGACGGCACAACCTGTCTTGCTTGTGAAACCCATGTTGGGCAACTGGACTCGAATGTGGATGCCTGAATTCCGGGGAGAGATGAGCTGGAACACCTGACTCTGGTGTCCTAAGGGAGCAGAGGGGTGGGGGGCCTGGGTGCCAGGCTCGTTCTCAGGGAAGGAGGAGAGGACTGGGAGCTGGACATCCAGGTTCTGGGCATGCAGGACCACAACCCCACACTGGGTTTTGCTGTTGGAGGGAGAGCTCCAGTCATGGTAAATAAAATACAAGAAGCACAATGCAGTATGGATTGCTAATAAATAATTAGATTTGGTCTTGGTATAAGTATATTCCCACATAACAACCTTGGAGCTTTCATTGTTTCTCTGAAATTCCAAGTAGAGTCAGCGTGGTGGTGCACACACAGAATTCCAGCCCTCATCCTTGGGCAGGGAGATCCTAAGTTCAAGGACAGCCTAGGCTTCATTTTGAGATGCTATCTGAAAACACAACTGAACTTCTGGGAGTCAGTAAGATGGCTCAGCAGAGACGGGCAGTGGCGGTGCACACCTTTAAACCCAGCACTTGGGAGGCAGAGGCAGGTGAATCTCTGTAAGTTTAAGGCCAGCTTAGTCTAACAGAATGAGCTCCAGGACACCCAGGCCTGTTACACAGAGAAATCCTGTCTTGTTGGGGGCGGGGAAGGCGAGAAAAAAGGATGGCTCCGCAGACGAAGGCGCTTGCTGCGGAAACCTAACAATCTAGGCTCAGTGGTTAAGAGCACCAACTGCTCGTTCATAGGACCCGGGTTCAATTCTCAGCACCCACATGGTGGCTCACAGCTGTCTGTAAATTTAGCTCCAAGAAAGAATCTAGTACCCTTTTCTGGCTTCCATGGGTAGCAGACATGCTCATGGTGCACAGACATACAGGCAAAATTTCTGTACACAAACAGATAAAAAGGAAAGGAAGGAAGGAAGGAAGGAAGGAAGGAAGGAAGGAAGGAAGGAAGGAAGGAAGG